CCTCCTCTCTCTCTCTCTCTCTCTCCCCTCCCCCCCCCCCCACTTGCTTAAGTAGTGGTTTGATGTTTTAAATAGAGCTCTTCTAGGTTGTTTGAGATGTGAATTCCCATTTATCTTACAACATTTGTTGCCCATTGATACCCAAATGTTTTCTAAAATAATGGCTTCTCTGTGTCTGGCAAACTTAGAGCTAACATTTCGGATTTGGCATAATTTCTCCTGGCCTTAAACTCTGAGATTAACTCCCACATGTCAGCTTCAGTGGGTATTTGATTTTCTTCAGCCTTGACATTTCTACCTGACTTGGCTGCCATGTGTTCACTTGGAATCTGAAAGTCTTCCCTATACTGTGAGTCCAAAACACTCTTCTTCTTAGTGAGGTTTTTTAAATTTTGGATTTTTTTTTTTAAGAGAATCCATTCTCTGCAGCCTTGTTCTCCAAAGTGTGCATGGGCGGGGTTGTGGAGTTTAGTAGATTTCTGGGGGCTGAAGGAAGCAAATCATCATCCCCTTAGGGCTCAGGCTTAAGCCTGCTATTTTAGTCCGTCCCAATTTTAATGTAGTACAGTACTGCATTGGTTTAGATTTGGTTCACATTTTGAAGGCTCTCTTCACACCCATGAGGGCTAGAAACATACTTGTTTAAAATGAGAGATTAAATTCTGAAGCACACTTCCATAGCAAGAAGTAGACTCTGTAGTCGGTTCTGTAGCCATTTGAGCACAGGAAATGGCTCCAGGCCTCCACTTGTCTGAAGAAAAGCCTAATGGAATAGGGCTTTTCTTAAACTTATAAGGAGTCCCAGATTTTTATGAGATGGAGAGCATAGAAAACTCAGTGTTAAACATTTAGCATCCAGAGATAGAATTCTAACAGTATTTCATAGCTAGTTTTCAGGATCTGCACCATAAAACTAGTTTGAAGTTGAAAGTAATACTAGTAACATTCAATCTGTAGTTTCAATTTTTGGCAAAACATTTGTCATGCTAAGGGGCAAGTGACAAGACCTACTCTAATGTTCAATATTTAAATAACACAGGCAGCCTCTTCTAATACATCTTTGTTCATGGCATTGTAATTAGTTAATGCATATTCTTAATTATTGTCCCTTTACTAATAAACTCTGCTATACATGGTGGCCTTTTCTGTTTTTCTGCAGCTGCGCTGTTGTGGGATCCACAACTATTCAGACTGGGAGAACACTAAGTGGTTCAAAGAAACTAAAAATAACAGTGTACCCCTCAGCTGCTGCAAAGCATCCAGCACCAATTGTACTGGCAGTTTGACCCACCCAATGGACCTTTATTCTGAGGTAAGCTAGGCCTGTGAATTCAGTTTTAGTATGTACAAAGCTGACGGTCATTTAAATTTACCTGTTTTGATGGCCAGTGAAGAGGTTTGGGGTATATTTCATACATCAGGGATCTGATCTGGAGTCTGATAAATAACTTATTTTGCTCTTCTCCGTCTCAGTTGGCTTGCCCATCCTAAAAGCCAGCCTTCAAATTCCTTGTTTTTTCTTGAGTTTTAAAGCCGTTAGCACTATACTTTAATTTTCTGTCCATTCTGCTTGCTGCCTTTGACATTTATTTCAGTTTATTAGTGGATATATAAGCAAAGCTTCTATGCAAATTTATGACCAGGCTGAATACTTCCTAAATGCTACTGCTTGCTTGTTTCAGGGGTGTGAGGCTCTAGTTGTAAAGAAGCTACAAGAAATCATGATGTATGTTATCTGGGCAGCTCTGGCATTTGCTGCCATTCAGGTGAGATTTCAAAACATTTACTCTTTTTAGCTGATAATCTTTCATATAAAAATGAAACTCTGGACTGTAATCCCAGGTTACCATGCAAATGCACCAGTCTTCAACAATTTTAGTTTTTTTTATTTTGACTTTGAGTTCCATTGACCCAAGTGTCAAATAACCAAATATGTTAAATTGATGACTTGTGGTTATTTCTAAATTGTTCAGCGCCTTCACTTTTGCTGGAATGTGTCTCGCCTCCATTTTATACAAGATCTCCAATATAAATGACCAATGTATCTGAACATATCTGACATTCATGCTGAGCAAATACTTTTCATGGATACACTTAATGGTGGTTAACATTTAAATAGTTACAAATTCTTCAATTTACAACTCCCTTCAAACAAATAGGGGCAGTTCATTCTAATGCTGCTATCAGGAAATAAATCAACTAAATCATAGTATCTTAGAGCAACCTAAAAATATAGCCAGATTTTTTTGATCGCTAACTATTACCATGACCCTTTGGAAAGGGGCATTGCACTGTGCTCTGAAGGTCTGATTCAACTACTGGGCCATCAGGGGAAGTGGAAGTCCTGAGTTGAGGACCCTCCAATAAGAATTCTCTGTACACAAATCTAAGGCATTAGCTCAAGCATCACAGCTGATAATTATTAACTGAAGTTCAGTTGTGTTGTCATGAACATCTTTGTAACACTGCACTTATGTAGTGTATTCTGTTCTTCGTGATAAGTTAAATTCCTTAATGAGCAGGTGCAATGTGGCCAACTTACAGATGCTGTGAATACCTTAACTTTGAATCTTGTAAAATTAAAACATGTTAACTAGGTTCCCTAGATAGATATTAAGATGCATATTAAAATATTTAATTCTCTAAGTAAATGGACTTTGAAAAAGTGTTCTGACACTTACTCTTAAATGTGCCTGTATGTCCAGAATTCTGCTGCTTTGTTCATTAGTTTAGGCAATTAATACATCTAAAAAATCAAAGCATTCATCAGGTGTGTTCTGATGTAGCAGTGGCATTACAGTCCCCAGTGAAAACTATACTGTGCATGCTGAGTGCTAAGTGTTCTTTTTAAAAGCTAACTAAATAATCCCCAGCCTTTTGCAGCAGAAAACTAACTGGTGTAACACTTTCTGCCTTCAGAAAAGTCAAAACAGCTGAATAAAGCTATTAAACTTTCATAACTTAGCGTTTGGACTGAAATTTGTCTAAAGGTGACTTTTTGCCAGTGTTCAGCACTTGAAAATGCATCCAGTAATAGAACTCCATCTAAGTGCTAAGATAAACTTATAAAACAGATAAATCTGCATATAGCTGCTGTGCATTCAATGGGGTTTCATTGTCTTGAGCTGACTTATTTCAGATTTATGAAATGCTAATTTTTTTCCTTTGGATAATCTGGTTATTCCAACCCTTTGGAGGAAGGTTTGGATCTTTTGTTAAAGTAATGCATTTTGCCTTGGTGTTTGAAAAAAGTGCTCTGTCTTGTACCCATCTTGCACTATGCAGTATTATGACATTCCTACGGGGAGAGGTTTTTTCCTTGTGTAAACTTAATGTATTTGAAGTCATATTCTTAAATTAAAAGTGCTTCTGAGTTGCTTGCTAGAATTAACTATCTTGCTCAAGAGAGATACTCTTGCAGTATGGGAACCTAATGCTGGTTGAAAACTTCCATCCTTCTGGCATCAGAATTATTATTTAACTGTAAATATTAAAACCTACTTTAACTAAATCCGTGTTAGAGCAGAAGCAGTTATAATAGGGGTGAGCAGTTGGTGCTTAGAGATAATTCAATATTTAGGAATAGTTCTGATTACTCTGGAAAAGTGCTCTTGAATATTCAGCTGTTGAGATGGAAATTGTAACAAGCTGTGCTGCTTTTCTATAAAGCAAGGTAGCTGCCTCTAATAGGATCAGAAATGGAAGTTTTAGTTGAGAGCTTTCAGCATCTTAACTGTCACTTCTATGCTTTATCAAAATCTTCAGTATACCCTATTTACTCAAATATGTCACACCACTTGTTCTTTGCAGCCTTTTGTGCAGTGTCTTGATATCCTAGTTTCAGTTGTTAGTTTATTGATGTTTCTTAGTATTCCATTTTTGTTGTTGCCAGGTACGGAGTTCAATGTTTAGCAACCATAGTTGACTTTTCTTGTCTGAGCTTAAGGTAGAATTCCCTCCCGCTCCCCCCTTAAGAAACATGTAGGGGAAAAGTTTATGAAGCTGTGTCCTAATTTCCAAAATGAGCTATATTTCTTATTTTGGAGTCTGAGGTGTGAAGAGATGCCCACCCTTCTTCCCCCCACCCCCCCAATGCACTTATTGAAGTGGTTATTAAAGCACTGTTAAAAATCCTAGCTCCTCAGCATGGGGCTATAAACCCATGCCACTCTTTCAGTCATGGATGTGTGTGCCTGTCAGTGTCCCACTGGCTTGTCAGTTGTAAGTAAGCATGCTCATTGTGTAGTCTCTGCATTTTGGGTGGCACTTGCTTTGTGGTGCCACATGGCAGTACTCTAGCTATCAGCAGGGAGAGTCCAAATTATGTCTGCAGCAAAGGCTATGTAAACACTTTGCAAAAAAAAGAATAAGGAAACATCAAAGGAGGTTTTCTGCCCTTGCCAAGATATTGACGTAAGTTGTTTGAAATGTTTTCATATAGAACTGAAACAAACCATGCAACACCCATTAAGAAAATAGATTATAGGATCTTAAACACATAGCTCTGGTGTTCGGTAAACAGTTTCTGTTATTAGACACCTCTGACATTTCTGTTTAGCCCTGACTGCAATAGGAACTATTGACATTATTAAATGTTACATCATCTAATTGGTTTTGTTAAGGTTTCAGTATTAAATAAGACATTGGTTTAATCTAATTTTTGATATAGTCAAACTCTACTTTACTTTACTTTTAAGCCTAGTCCTAACTGGCTTTACTTTATTAAGTAAACCTCCAGTAGACCATTGTAAAGCTGTAGCATGTAGTGTGGCCATGATTCTGTGTAATGCATATAAATGTAATTTCAGTACATACTTGTGCATATGGCACAGCAAGACTGTATAAAAATTAATTGAAACATGGACAAGAATGTAACCTTGAACAAATGGGCTTTGACCTAGTAAATGTGAATTAGAGCGGCAGTGATCTTCTCCATTCATTAAAATTTCTGATCAAGGCTTTAAGAATGCACACAGACCCCATTATGACCTCATTCTGTTGTGTTTGTAATAGACAGTAAGAATAATGCTTCTGGCAGCTCTGCTTACAGCAACTCTGTATTGTCACTGTAACCGAAAAGTTTTTAACTTGTTTCCCCAGCTTAGCAAACTCAGTTTTGATTTGTTTTAAAACGAAAAGACTGAGGCAATGAAAGGTTACTTACATTTTTTGTTAAAAATAGCCCTTCTTCCTGGGAACTGGTATTTCCTGATATTGAGCTAATACAGAACATTTTTAATAGCAGAAACTGTAGACCCACCAGAGTTTAAAGAGAAGTTGATGTGTGACAGCTCCACTAAAGTGGTAAGAGAAGGATAAAGAAAAGTGGTAGCACAAGTTTTCTTTGATATCCTGTACAAATTCTGCACAAGAAGTCATTCTGCATCACCAATGGGTATAATCTTGTCATTTTATAATATCTCTAAAGAAAGTGTCTGGCTCTAGAGACTTTTTTTTCTTTAACAAGACACTTAGCTTAGATGTCAGAATAAGGAACTGGGAATGAAGGGGCAAGAAAACAGTGTGCTTGTGCTGCCAGAACCTATACTGTCTGATTAACTTGTGTTAAACTTCAATTGAAGGAATGCCATCAAGTTTTCATACAACTTTTAAGATGGATCAAATTTGGGGGCTAATTTTGTGGAAGTTCTCAAAGTTCTAAATGTATTTAAAAAAAATCATTAGAAAATGTTATCATTGACTGTTCCTCCTCACAATATGCATTAATCGGTGTTTGTTCTGCAAAGCAAGAAAATGAAATTAATTTAATACTTGAACTAAAGTTTGAGACTTTGGTAAAGCCTTTTTCGTACTAAGTTATGACTCTTTAGAGTCATTGTTGAGTGACCGAGTAATATAAAAAGGACAATCTTAGGCTAAAAATGTGTGTATTAAAAAATCAGTAAGACTCTTCCATTGATTTCAAGATTTTAGAACCTTTTTCTGTTAAACTTAGCACCGTTTCAGTCTTCAGTAAAATGAGTTTGTGCTGTTGCACAGTTACTATTTCTGAGAGGTTGGAGCAAAAACTGTTGTTGGTTCTACAACAAACATAAAAGCTGCTTTTTCTTTACAATCTTTATCAGTTGCTTGGATTCTCTCCTATCTGAGGGGTTCCAGTAAAGCCACCACTTTGTTAATCTGTTAGGGGGGTGGTATAAGCTTCTGAGAAGCAGAGTGTAGGATCAGAGTTAATAGATTTAGGGTCACTTTTCTTTTAAAAAGTCCATTTGAAGTAGTGTTCAGACTTCCGGTCACTGGCTGGATCCTTTTGTCTGTGAGCATTCAAAGGTCTCAGCCATGTTGACAGTGTGGGCTGGTCTCCTGTAAACTGCAAGAAAGCTGAAAGGGGCAAATTCATCTAAATTCATGGGTTTTGTACATATATTCCTGATTAGCTGGGAGGCAATTTTTCTTAATAGCTTATTTTATATGGTTTGTTCAGTGGACCAGTGGTGTCATCAAAGGTGGGAGCTTTCTCAGAGTATTCCTGAGCAAGTTCTACTTCCTAAGACTTGCTTGACATATTAAGAAATAAACCCAGGTTTTTAATAAACTGCAGAGTGACCAAACGGAGCTAGTGTACTGTCAGCTAACATTGTGCATGTAAATTACAAAATGGCTGACATTAGGCAGTAGATACTGTGTAGTTCAAATTACAATGGGCAAGCTAAGAAAACACACTTATCCTCCATGATCAGATCTAAGTGCTTTGATGGAGGGAGGTGTGAAGATACAGCTTTCAAAAATAAGCAGATATTAACTTGTGTTGAAGATAAGATTTATTGGTCCAAGATGTAAGTACTAACTACAGTGAAGGTAGAGATCAATATTTTGGTGAACATTAAGATTTTTAACACTAACCAAAGTTCTCTTGATGAATAGGTAGTACCAATACTTTCAAGGTCTTTATTTTAAACAAAACAAAACACCAAACATGGAAATCTTTTCTTCTGCCAAAAATTTCAACAGCGTGTTTTCCTTTGGAGACTGATGTTCTAACAGCTGATGCACTTGGAAGTCCCTCAAACTGTTCTATGAAATAATTGGCTGCATCCCATTAAATGCATGTAGAATCTGTCAGACATTGTTCTAGACCTGACTTGACCCAACAATACATAATTTGACTACCTTCACCCAGTCATAAGCTACGATTAGCTTTATATGTAATGGTTATAAACATTATGGAATTCCTTGCACTACACTATTGTTTGAAATATGGTTAGTGAAATGGGTTGGCTTTTAATGATCTGTCAGTCAGGAATATTTATGGCAATGTTGGTATTGCCAGTGATTGAAGACTAATTCACACCTACATTTTATTAATTTTTAACTGAACCGTGATAACTTAACTAAATTTAATACGTAACACAAACTTTGGCATTGATTTGCGCTAACATCACTTAATGTTACTGAGTTTCAATGTGCAAGTGTACATTCCTGGACACACAAACAACATTTAGTACATGACTTTAATCGTTTCAAATAACTATCAAACTGTTACCCAACAGTGTGTTTCCTTGGTCAGTAAATAATGCAAATCTGAGAGGTGTGAATTTCTCTATTCAATGAAACCCAGTGGCAACATACATTCAGAATCTTCTTGATTTGTGCTGATGTATTGGTCTGCCTGCAGGCCTATTTTCCATTAAACTTGAAGAAGCAAGGCCAAATTTCAGCATGACTTGACTGAGTTGCAATGTTCCATTCACCTTCAGTCCAAGATTTATGAAGGAACCTACTGAATTTCTATAAATGTCACTCTGCAGGTAGATATCAAGTTATGTAAGAGCTGCTGTCTGTGTGTGTGGCCTCTTTGGGAAGTACATATCTGTTCAGACTTCTTCCTTTATTCAGCCTTATGAACGAATCTAAACAATAACTTAACTTAGCAACCTTTTCATACGGCATCATAAAAGGGTAAAGTCAGACACTGTCGACTTGGTTGCAAAGCAGTTCAGCCTTCTCATTGATGTCTTCCTCAAGCATTTAACTTTTTTGTAAAGTACTTTGTTACTTACAGCCATGAATACATTAATCTCAGATTAACATCCTATGTACATTTATATGCTAATTAGCTGAACCCCCCAGGTTTCTGGCAAGCTGCCAGAGTGGCCCTTAGAGCAGCTGTGCACTAACCTTTGCAGCACTAACTGGATTTTAAAAGGTGAAGAATGCAACCATGCACACACTCTGCCCAAATTGGGCACATGAGCAAAGAAGATTCCAGCTATACCATGTCCTTTTTTTTTAAACAGACAAGTCAAATTCTGTTAACTTAAAGTACAGCCTGATTTTGTACATTCTGGATTACAGTAATTTACACATCAGTCATCAGATAGTATGGTTCTAATTTCCCCTTTGAAATGTTAAACTTCTGGCACTTGAATATTTCTTCTGTGGCAATTGAATGTTAAACCACTTCACCTTGATTTCAGTCTTTCTTATCCACTAATAAAGTTTCCACCCTTTTTAAATTAGTCTTGATTTACATCTGTTTGCATAATAGAGGCAGAATACAACAAATGATTTGACCAAGGAATAGCCTAATGAAAGATGCTCTTATAAAGTGATTTTTTGGTAAGGATCAGTTTGGAGCTTAATTTTATATAGTAGCTGGTAAAGCTTTTCAAAAGTCATCTTATTTTGCCTTTCAAATTACTGTACATCAAGCCTGAAGTGTGGTGAAATATACTGGCAACTAGCCAGTGATTGGTTTCTGGACATTAATCTCTTACAAGTATCTCCTGTGTACTCAGTTTTGTTTTCTTTTTTCCATAGCTGCTGGGCATGCTGTGTGCCTGTATAGTGTTGTGTAGGAGGAGCCGGGATCCTGCTTATGAGCTTCTTATCACTGGAGGAACCTACGCATAGAAGTTAATGCAAACCTAAGCTTGAATCTCTTATTTACTTGGAAGGTGAATGGGCCTGGTCTACTGCAGTAGTTTTCCTGCCTATGTAGACTTAGCTAAAACACACCCTGCACAGATGAGGACAGCTGTAATGTACACTGGTGATGAGCAAAGCAACTTGGCTTTCCACATACCCATATACTTACCTGTGACTCACTATTTTAGCCAGCTATTCATGTATCTAAATATGTTTTAGTATACTAGCAAACTTTCTAATTTCAGAACCATTTGCAGATCAAGATTAATTTGGTTGACATGAAAGTTAAAGGAAGTGTGCCTAATTTGGTAGATTACCTCTAAGCATTAATTCACTGATTCTTACATATATATATGGAATCCTTTAAATCTTCACTATGTGGAACTTTTTTTGGCCAAAGTTGTACAAAGGAAGTCTGCTGTATTTAATTTGTGATGGTAAATATTAATTCTTACCTCTCACCAGTGTCGTTTTTTTAAAAACATAGGTGAAGTCCAGTACACTTTAAAGATAAATTGTAGGAAATGACTACTAACCAAAATAATTTTAGAATCACAAGCGTGCATCTTTGATCTTCTCAAATTCAGAGATCCAATCTTTCAAACTTTAGTGTTTTAAAATAAAGCTGGCTTTTCAGGAGCAAAATGTATGCACTACTGTTCTATAAAGAATTTTCATTTTTTCTATGAAGAGCTGTTTTATGTGTTGAGTGAACTGTTCTATTGTAGATCTTAAGTTGGTTTGGAAATACTGTAGCCATGTAGGGTAGCAAAATAGTATGTGAAAGTGATCTCAACTGTAAATAATAAACCTGATTAAATAAAATCTCTGTATATCCTCCCTCAAAACGTACCTGCTTGTATTGCATTTTTTTAAAGGATTTCAGCACATCCAGCCTCTTTTGCTACAGCTCTCTAATGTGAAAGCATCTGTTTTATCGACAGATCTGTATTTTCTGATGTCTGATGCACCATTCTCTGGATAAATGGTAGGCCACTTACGGGTTGTGAATGCTTGAACATGACTCACCAAAGATCTAGTACTTCAAACAGGGTGGTAACAAAGTTATCATTCCCTTTGGAGAGAAGCTTTAAAAGCACCCCTCAATGGGAAATTACAATCAGCTATGGGTAATGCACGAAAGTTGCATTTTCAAAACTGATTTAGTCACTTAAGAGCCTAGTTCCAAAGTCAGTTTTGAAAATGCAACTTAAGCATTTTTGAACATTTTACCCGTTCTATTCGGAGCACTTACTTCCCCCATTCACCTTACTGCTCTCAGTCTTGCTTCCCCATCCCCCACTAGGTGGTGCTGCAGAGGCTCTGTAATAATTCTGTAACAGGCAGTGCTCTAGAGCAGGGGTGGACAAACTTTTTGGCCCGAGGGCCACATCTGGGTTGGGAAATTGCATGCAGGGCCATGAATGTAGGGCTGGGGCAGGGAGTTGGGGTGTGGGACAGGGTGCAGGAAGGGGCTCAGGGCAAGGGGTTGGGGTGGAGATGGGGCTCAGGGGAGGGGGTGCAGGGAA